CAAAAACTTTTAAATTTGATATAGTCCATTTGTTTATTTTTTTGTTTCCCTTGCCTGAGCCTATATATATATATATATATATTGCTATGAGAAATGACAGAGATTTTTTGCCTATGTTTTTTCTTCTAGGACTCATGTTTTCCAGTCTAACATTTAAGTCTTTTATCCATATTTAATTTATTCTTGTGTATGGTGTAAGAAAGATGCCTAGTTTTATTTTTTGTATGTATCTGTCCAATATTCCCCAACACAATTTGTTGAATATACTATCATTACCCAATTGTATGTTGTTGCCTTCTTTGTCAAATATTAATTGACTGTAAAGGTATGGGTCTATTTCTGGGCTCTCCATTCTGTTCCATCAATCTATATGTCTGCTTTTAATGCAGTACCATGCTGTTTTGATTTACTATGGCTTGATATTAAGTAGTGTGATTCCTCCAACTTTGTTCTTTCTCAAAATTTCTGTTGCTATTCAGGGTCTTTTGAGGTTCCATATAACTTTTTGGAATATTTGTTCTAGTTCTGTGAAATAAGCCATTGGTATCTTGATAGGAATTGCATTGAACTTATAGATTGCTTTGGGTAGTATGGACATTATAATGATGTTACTAGCAATGCCTCCTATCCATGAATAAGATATATGCTTACACTTATTTGCATCTTCTTAAATTTCTTCCCTCAGAGTCTTATAATTTTCTGAGTACAAATCTTTTACATCCTTAATTATATTTATTCCTAGGCATTTTGTTCAGGGGGAGGGGAGGGGGAGGAACAGCAGCAGCAGCTTAAATTTTCCCGTTAAGGAAGCAAAGCCCAACTCTTCAGGCTCTGGAGGATATGGAAAGAGGAAAAGGTGTGTGGAAGCAGTCATGCCACATGTTCTTGCTTTCCCTCCTTGGTTTGGAACTGGGGAATCCTGGCATGGTGGATCCATCCAGATGGGTCTGCAGGAGTTTATGGACATAGACTAGGGGATGCTTCAAATCAGAAGCTCCTTAGGGTAGCTGTACCCAACAGGAATTTGGGCAAGAGCATGAAAGAGGTAGATGGAGGAGGGGAAGGAGAAGAGCCTCACAATGTGGTTTGATGCAGGGGACCCAGCACTCCCAGCTTGACACAGTGAGATGAGTACTGATCTGCTGAAAGGTCCCTCAGCCAGATGAGGCCTGAGAGGTTGAAGAGAGGAGACAATGATGGCCATGGGCATGGAGGGTCAGCAGGCAGTAGTGGATGCCATTAAAAAAAAAAAAAAGCCTATCAGTGCTACTCAGCAACAACCACTGGGATTTTGGACCGGAAAATTCCTGGGTGCTGTGGTAAGATATACGCCATGTAAGAGAAAATTACTGGCTTGCCATTAGGCATTACTTGAGACTGACTCTATGACTTAAGAACATAAAATAACCCTGAAACCTGAAATGCCCATAATGTCTTGGATGATGAAGGAGCACTCTAATAAGGAAGGCAGTGCCTAAAGGAGTTCTGTATACACAGAAACTGTTTGTGCACAAACATGCAACAAGGAGGATGCAAAGATGTATTTATGGTTTTTATGAGCAGGTGCCCAGCCTCTTTCCCCTTAAGTATGACTTTGGAACCACCCGAGGAGCTGCTGAATCCTATGATCCCACAGGTGGTGCTCTATAAACAGCTATTAACCAACAGAGAGCTGCTTCGTTTATGGATGGCAGTTCCAAGGTGAAGGCACATTCTGTCTGGAAAGCTACCACTCTAACTGAAGAAGGCAACAGCAAATCATATCAATGAGCTGAATTGCATGCTGTTGTCTCCTATATTTGGGTTTTTTGAACTCTGCAGTTGGCATCAGAAGCAAGGGTGGTCTTGTGGGCTGTTTCCTAACTTCATACAGATGATGAAGAGAACAACTTTGGGTAAGACTCAATGAAGTACGCAATATTGAACACTTTCAACTTTGACTATGGGGGACCACTGAAGGGTTCTTTTAAAAAAGGGTGGAGAGGGGGGCAGCTCCATATCTTACCAAAATAACCCTTGCAGCAATACGGACAGATGAATTTAACAAGATAAACTTCAAAACAAGGAGACCAGTTAGAAATGTGTTGAACGTAGGTTTTTAATTCCAATGACATGGGTTCTGCAATAGTCTATCCAGGAAAGGTGAAAAGTATGAACTAAAGAAAAGGGGAAAAACATTCAACAGATAATTAGGACCTGGTATATTTTCCTTTATCAAGGAAAATGATAAAGAAAGGGGAAGGATCGTGGCTAAACTTTGACAGAGGGGCAGTGGAAGCTATTCTTTCATGAGAAAAGGGATGCCATCTTCTTGTTCTTTTTGAATCTCGCCATTAATTTAAAAAGCCTAAGAAATCTAAGATTTCTCAAAGATCTAACTGAAGCTGAGAGAAAGTAATCTAGTATCTTACTGAGATTATTACAAAATAATCAAAGGTAAGATTTGGCCCTGAGGTAAAGGCAGGCACAAGATTAGTAACCTCAAGTAAAATATTAGCCAACCTTCAGGTAAGATGAAACATACTGGAACAAATTAGGATATAAACATTTTAAGTACATTTCTAATCAAATGTTCTGTAGAACGTAAGTGCAGCCTTGGGAAAGAACAAAGGGCATTATATATATGATTAGTTTTGAGGGATTCTACATACTGTATTCTAGGTTCTATATACCATATGGGAGAAAATAAGCATATGAACTAAAATAGATCTGGAGTCTGACCACTTTATTCAAATTCTGGTTCTACCACTAACAGTGAGACCGTGTACAGATTACTAAAACTTTTTGGGAATAGACTCCCTCTCCTTTAAAGCAGTCATGATACTAGTACCAACACTTCATGGGTAATTGGTGTGAATTCAGAAAAGTGTGGCACAAACTATGAATTAATGTATCACCTCCTTTTCAGGAGAATTCTAAATGAATTCCAATGAATCTAACAAATTAAAACCTCTAAGACATCTTACAGTTAAAAAACAGATTAAAGTGTGGTTGATCCAACTTAGCCTACTCTTTTATGACAGGAGATTCATAAAACCTATTTCCAATTCAGCTGAACTGTTTTAAGAAAATACTTTAGAAAATTCTGTATGGGTAAGCAAGACCATCTTTTTAACTGTAATAAATAGATGTCATATCAACTGGGAAATTTACTAGAGGATTTTGTTATATAACGGACAAAGAATTTCAGTACATTCTAGAACAGTTAGGATGTTACAGACTGGTGATAAGTAAATACTATTGAATTCTGAGGTTATAACGGGTTAAAATACTAAGATATGTATTAAAGAATTAGTAACTATGCTACTTAGATGCTTATAAATTCCTGATTTTTCTGCAAATTGTATATCTAAAATGAAATCAGTTTATGCTTTAACGTTAAAATAGGTATCATTTATCCATACCCATGGGAATATTACCTTTTTAGATCACAGCTCATAGCCTAAATAACACAGTATTTGAAAAAAAGTATATCTGAACCAAGGCAGAGCAAACAAAGAAATACAATTCCATTCTTACAAACCCAAATCCATATAATGCAGTGGTTCTCAACCTCCTGGCCCTTTAAATACAGTTCCTCATGTTGTGACCCAACCATAAAATTATTTTCGTTGCTACTTCATAACTGTAATGTTGCTACTGTTATGAATCGTAATGTAAATATCTGATATGCAGGATGGTCTTAGGCGACCCCTGTGAAAAGGGGTCGTTCGACTGCCAAAGGGGTCCCGACCCACAGGTTGAGAACCGCTGAATTTTTAACAAATCATAAAATTATTAGGTATGAATGTGAAAACCATTAATTTATCAAAAACAACGTTTTGACTTAAGAAATATATAATAGTGAGAATTAAAATGCTAACAAAGAAATCTGTGGAATACATACTTGCTTTAAGAAAAGTAAATAAGAATTTTTAAAGAACTTATTATAATATTTCTTGATAAGCAATTATGACTTCTGTACCTATGTTCTTTGTGTTCCAATAGCTGACAGTCTCTACATGTCAATCTGTCACATGTTTCACAGAAAAGTTTCAACTGTTCTTGTTTGTGTACAGGGCAGAAAACAGGGCGCTGACCAGATGCTCCAACAGACTCTGTAGTAAAATAAAACATGTATTTTTAAACTGAACAAAATTTTTGTCTAACTTTCTAAATTCTTATCGATACTGGTATCCAAAGCTTATAAAGAATATGCAGAAATGATATAAGGGCAAAAGAGGGGGATTAATAGTAATCATTAAAATTGCTTCTCTCTTACCTGAGACATCTTCTTTCTTCCTGATCAAGTGATCTTTAGTGAATTTCACTCTTTGATGTGCTTCAATACATGTCTTACACAGCCACTCCCCACATTCTACACAAAAGCCAACTGCACTTGCATTGTCTTCACAACTAGTGCAGACCTACAAGAGGAAATAAATACTAAGCTACATTAGATTTACAAAATATAGATCCACAAAATAAAAAGGTGAAAACTTCCTAACTTGCTTCCAAGTTACATATATTAATTTACGTACCTAGAATAAAATTATTTTATTATCCATTTATCTTTAATGAGATCCTCTCCTTCCAGATCAAACACTCAGTGGATAAAAATCTAAGTCTCAGAAACAAAATCTATAAAAGATTTCAATTTTTCAGTAATGATCTTGTATCATTGAGCCAGATCTGCGAGGGTATAGAATAAAGATACCCTTTATTTTCAATTTGAAAGATGTAACTATAGCAGAACTAGCCTAATTTATGTAACAACCCAAGCATGCTTTTCTAGTAACTTACATTTTGATATCAAGATAGAAATATAAAGAAAAATTGAGAAGCATACCTGTTCTGATTTCTCATCAGAACTGCTAGGAGCTTCAGATGTATCTTTCACAAAATAATTATCCACAAGGTCTATCTGTCTGCATTCTTGGCGGCATACTGGGCACCGTATCACACCAACTACAATACAAAATAACATTAAGAAATATTTTTCAGAAAAAAATAAGAAAAACTGTGCATGTTGCCCATACGAAAACTAGTCATTCAATATGTCACAGACAAGACCAAAGAAATGAGCATTAAGGGCTGAGTAAAATAAGCCACTGAATTATTCCATTGGGAAAAAATGATATCCTATTTAGGAAGAGAAAAACAATCATTAATATGCAAAAAGTTTAAAGGTGCATCTTTATTACAATATGTGTTTTCCAAAAGATATCCAGGTCCTACTCCTTGGAAAACCTGTCAGTGTCACTTATACCGCTGATTAAATTAAGGCTCTTGAGATGGAAATGCTGTCCTGGATTATTGGATGGACCCTAAATGCCATCACAAGTGATCTTATAAGAGGGAGGCAGAGGAAGATTAGATTATAAAAAAGGAGAAGGCAACTTGATAATGGAAGCTTTCGAGATGGAGCCACAAGCCACGAAATACAGGTAACTTCAATTGTGGCTAAAAAACACAAAGAAACAGACTCTTTCCTCGGAGCCACCAGAAAGAGCCAGAGCTGCTGACACAGACTCTGCAAGACACTCTGGCTTTAGCCCAGTAAAACTGAATTCAAACTTTTAGCCTCCAGACCAGTAAGAAAATAAAATGTATTGTATTAAGGCCCCAAGTTTATGGCAATTTTGTTACAGCAGCAACTGAAATATACAATCTATCATCTTATAAATTCTGACTTAGTTCAGAACTACATGAATTCATGCTAGTGTGGTAAGAAAGATCATCTGTCCCTTAACCTGCTATCGCTCTAGCATCTATAAAAATAGATAAACCTGCTGAGGTAACATACAGATGTTAAAGTTAACAACTAAAAAATAGCACCACAGTCAACACAACAAACTGATTACTACGTATCAGCCATAAATTTGAGGATATAGCATAAATGACACAATCCTTACTTTCAAGAGAGGGTTCCAAGACTAGTATATAAATATTACTTTTTACACCATGCAGAGATAAGGAGAGATGAAAACTACAAACAAGAAGAAAGCTAAATAACTGAATGAGAAAGTCCAGCATGTGTCTATCAGAAGTTCTAGAAGTTCATGAAGGAAAGGAGGCAGAGATGCTTTATCAAGAAATAATGACCAAGAATTTCAAAACTGAATGAGTTCTCAAATCGCAATCCAATTCCTGAGCACGATAATTAAAATTAATCCACACCTAAACAAACCAAAGATGGAGCAAAAACTCTTCATAACTGCTAATAGTAGAATATAATCAAGACTAACAACAGAACTACCTCATTAGTAAAAAAACAATGCCAAAAGATAGCAGGCAATCTTTTCAAAGCTTTTAGAGAAAATAACAGCCAACCTAGCAATCTATATCCTGATAAAACTATTACTCAAGTGTAAAAGGAAATTAACTTTTCAGACATATAACAGAACCATTGTTGTAATAACTAATGAAGCATTAAGTTGGACCATATAAGTCTGCCAATAGTAGACCACTTCAGACCTGCAAATACAGCCGTTCTATACAGTTCAACCTAATCTCATATATATATGTATATAAAAGGCTAAGTGACCAATGGTACATCCGTCCAACTGGTACATATGACGCGCACAGGCAATTTAAAAATAATAAACACTGACTTGCACATGCACAACACATACAAAGCTCTTGCTGGCGCATGTAAAAGGCAAAGTAACCGACCTGTCACTTCTATTATAAAGGGCGAACAGCAATATTAAAATACTTCTTCTAATTAATTTCCTTTCAATGTGCATGAATCCGTGCACTGGGCCACTAGTATTTAAGAATGTGGAAAAGTATTTAGAAGCGACATTTCAAAAATAATTAACAAAGGCATCAATAATAAATATGTATGAGCTAAAAGTAAATATATATATTAATTTTGGAAGTGGAAAATACATGAAATTAAAATATCAAACTACAATAATTTATTCTAATTCAATTTTAGCTTTAAAAAAACATTCTAACTACAATATGAAGAGGAAATTGAGATAAAAGGTTAATTAAAAATAAGGTTGCCTGGACCAGTTGGTGTTGCTCAGTGGTTGAGCAACAACTATATACTGGAAGTTTGCCAGTTTGATTCCCAGTCAGGGTACAAACCTGGGTTGTGGGTTCGATCCCCAGTTGGGACACATGGAAGGCAACCAATCACATTGATGTTTTTCTCTCTCTCCCTCTCTCCCTTCCTCTCTCTAAGCATGTCCTTGGGTGAGGATTAAAAATAATCAATTAATTAATTTAAAAAATAGGTAAAACCCTGCCTTAACAAAATAAGTGAGGCCCCAAAATTCAACTGCATAAAATAGAGAATTATTTTTTTATTATTATTATTATTTCCCCTCGTTAATTATAATTAATGAGGGGGAATAGGATCAAGGACAGTATCCTTCAGTACACCAATATTTGTGACTTGAGCAGAAAAGGAGTTCTCTGTTGGAAAGTAAAATAATTGCATAAGCTTTCTTAGCCAGCCAAACTAAGACTAACATGAACTAAGACTGTAGTTTGATACCAGGCTGAAGCTGTTGTTCTAAGGAATTCCAGGAATCTCTTATTAGTTGGTGCCATTTTTCCCACTTGATTCATAAAAATTGGCTCAGAAGACCACTGGGACCTCTGCCACCCAGATCTCTTCTCTGATGTTTCCCAACCCAACCTTGCTCTACCGAGCACTTCTGCCCTCACTCCAGTAAGAATTTTAACCTTCCTGTTTGAGAATGAGGAGATAATCATGATCAAATTATATTTAAATCTGCATTAATACAAAGTTTTACTGTAAGACCCATCAGTACTTATTGAGAAATTTATATGTATTAGTTCAATGAGTCCTCAAACACCTCTTAAAGTAAGTTCAATTACTATCACCATTTCAAAGATGAGGAAATTAAGGTTCAGAGCTCAAGTAACACTCTCAAGATCATATGGCAATGTAAACAGGAGTTGAGAGAAGGGCCAAGATCTGAAACCATGATGTCTGAATATACCCTTCCTCTTAAAACCTAGGCTAAACTAGCTCTCTAGTTAAAAGGCTGGTTCATTAGTCACAAAATAAGAGAATAAACTATACAGATATATGGAGGATAATTTAGAGGCAAAACCAAATGACTTCATGATGACTGTATGACGACGGTGTTAGTAATTCATGGACAATTACACAATTACTCAAAATGAGGGGAAAGTAATCTTAGCCAGAATGTAATAAGTTTTATATAAAATGTGTTTATAGTTACAGAGGGAACCACCAGCATTGTAAGTAGTTCAATCTGAAGCAGTTATAATTAACTAGAGGCCCAGTGAATGAAATTCATGCACCTGGTTGAGGAGGGGAGGGGGATCCCTCAGCCTGGCCTGCGCCCTCTCGCAGTCCGGGAGCCGTCAGTCAGACATCCCTAGAGTTGCCTCGGAGGCAGGAGAGGTTCCCACCACCGCCGCTAAGCTTGCCAGATGTGAGCCTGACTTCTGACTGAGCAACGCTCCCCCTGTGGGAGCACACTGACCACCAGGGGGCAGCTCCTGCATTGAGTGTCTGCCCCCTGGTGGTCAGTGCATATCATAGCGACCAGTCGTTCCACTGTTTGGTTGATTTGCGTATTAGCCTTTTATTATATAGGATGAGGGGGAATAGGATCAAGGACAGTACCCTTCAGTACACCAATATTTATGACTTGAGCAGAAAATGAGTTCTCAGATTTAAGAAACAGATTTCAAACATTTTTCAAATGCAAATCACAAGTACACTTTACATCAAAAGCCAGTACACAAAAACATAGGCAGCAAAATCTCAGACATCTTTCATAGCAATATTTTTGCTAATACATCTGCTTGGGCAAGGGAAACACGGGAAAAAAATAAACAAGTGGGACTACATCAAACTAAAAGCTTCTTCACATCAAAGAAACCAGCATCAAAATAAAAAGGGAACCCACTGTATGGAAGAACATATTTGCCAATGATACATCCAATAAGGGGTTAATATCCAAAATGGGCAGACCTGAATAGACATTTCTCCAAAGAGGACATACAAATAGCCAAGAGACCTATTAAAACATACTCAGTCACTAATCATCAGAGAAATGCAAATTAAAATCACAATAAGATATTACCTCACACCTGTCAGAATGGCTATCATCAAAAAAATCAGCAAACAACAAGTGCTGGCGAGGATGTGGAGAAAAGGGAATACTAGTTCACTGCTGGTGGGAATGCATATTAGTGCAGCCACTATGGAAAACAGTATGGAGTTTCCTCAAAAAATTAAAAATGGAATTTCCGTTTGACCCAGCAATCCCACTTCTGAGAACATATCCTAAAAACCCCTAAACACCAATCAGAAATAATATATGCACCCCTTATTTACAATAGCTAAGATTTGGAAACAGCCTAAGAGCCCATCAGTGGATGAATGAATAAAAAAAAAGCTGTAGGACATCTACACCATGGAATACTATGCAGCTGTGAAAAAGAGGGATCTCTTACTTTTGGCACATGGATGGACCTGGAGACTATTCTGCTAACTGAAATAAGCCACTCTGAGAAAGACAAATATCACATGATCTCACTTATTTGTGGAATCTAATGAACAAAATGAATTGACCAACAAAATAAGTCCTGAAGCATGGAGGCATGGAGCACACTGACATACCTCGATGTGGGGGTGGAGGATGAAGAGAGAGAAACAAAGTAACTTATATGCATAGCCCATCAACACAGACAGTAAGGTGGTGAAGACAATGGGGGGACTGTCAACAATAAAAATATTTTTCAAATAATTTTTAAAAATAGATTTCAACGGGAACAGATATCTAGAAACAAAAATAGCTAAATAATTAAAATTTTAAGTATTAAAATGAAAGGAGACATGACAAAAATAAAAGTATAACGGAACTTTTTAGTACACTTTTTAAATGAGCTAAAAAAGAAAAAAATGGGTAATACAATTTAAGAGCTATTTATATATTTCAAGAATAAAAAAACATACATTTTTTGGCATGTCTGTAGAATACTAAGAAAATGTAATGTTGTATTATGTTGCCAAAAACAGCATCCATCTGATACTCTCTCCATATGAAAAAGCCACATTTAGGTAAAATTTTACCTCTGCCTTAATGGCCTTGATTGTTTAAAAATAATAATATAGATAGCCCTAGCCTGCATTGCTCAGTGGTTAGAGCATTAGCCCGTGGACAGAAGGGTAACGAGTTCAAATCTCCATCAAGGGCATGTACCTGGGTTGCAGGTTCATTCCCTGGTCCCAGTTGGAGCATGTGCGTGAGGCAACCAGTCGATGTATCTCTCTCATATTACTGTTTTTTTCTCTCCCCCCTACTCCTGCCTCTACCCCTTCCACCCTCTCTAAAAAAACAACAAACAAAATCAATGAAAAAATATCCTCTGGTAAGGATTAACCAAAAAAAAGAGGATAATATTACCTGAGATATTTTTTATAAGCAATAACATGAAAAAGTTTTAACTTGGAGCTGATGTTATTTTACAGATAAGGAACATAAAGTCGTAATAAGATTCAAATAAATTTGTCCATATTTGTTTGTCTTCATCTGTTATTAATTCAGATAGCTGACCTTGAAGCCACAAGACATAAACTGGGTATGGAAAACAGAGAAAGAATAAAACTATATCAATGTTAAAACAGCCTAAATTATAGCCAAAACCTTAAAAGCAAAATCAATCAGAATAATATGCATGTGAGAAAGAGGGATCATCACCTTCAAACCAACATTAAGAGCAAAAGCAGATTTCAGCCATGACTAATTTCTCTTCTAAACCATATTTCCATGAACTTTTGATTATTAATTATTTTAAAGATTTTTTATTGATTTTGAGAGAGAAAGGAAGAGGTAGGGAGAGAGGGAACTATCTATATGAGAGGGAAACATTGATCAGCTGTCTCCTGCACGCCCTCCACAGGGGATCGAGCCTGCAACCCAGCAACCCGGGCACACGCCCAACCAGGAATTAAACCACTGGCAACCCCTTGATGCACAGAACAATGCCCAACCAACTGAGTCACAAGGGCCAGGGCTAATTTATTGTTAAGTCTTATACTATTCTCTAATAATGTGTCTTATCTCTTCAATGGCGTCAAGGTTCATTTAATATATTCATTTTATATACTCACAACACATAAAGTTGATGCTCAACACAAAGCAGAATTTCAAGTTTGCAGAGGACAGCTGAAATGCAGTGTTCTCTATTAATCATTTCCAATTGTTTAGACTCACTTTAGCCTCATAATCATAATAAAAGTTAAATGACTCTAAATATGCTACCCTCATATCTCCTTTATTCCCAATAAAAAAAAACACAGAGATCTTCTGAATGATATTAACATTTTGCATAAATATTTATGTGAGGATGAGTTTTTAAGCCATTCCTTATTAACAGAAAAGAAAGCTGTTTAACTTGAATATTAGCATTCTATTAATAAACTACAAATGGGATGACAGGCCAGATTGGTCTAAAATTCTGGCAATCATTTGTGATGCTAAAAGAAATGTGGAAATTCTCATCCAAATCCATTGTGGACAACAGGTCAGATTGTACATACCATACTCCTTGA